TCCGCAGGACTCCAAGGCTCCTCTCCCAGCCCCACACCCCAGCCACTGCTGCTGTGCCTCCCTCGTGCCTGAGGTGCCTTCCTTCAGCTCACAGCAGCCACTAGCCCTCCTCTCCTCTGCCTCTCACCTCTGCCTTGGTACTGGCTGGGTCAGTGGCACCCTGGCCTGGAGGCGCCTTGGTCAGCCTCTGCCCACATTCCTTGCCCCCACACTAACCGCTAAACGATGGCTGTTGACTTCCTGCCTGGCCAGGTCACGCCTGCTACAGTCCTTTGCCTGCATGACTCACAGCTGGCCCACAGCGCAGGCGGACCCTGCTCACCTGAGGAAGGCAGCCTTCTGAGTCCCCTTCTCGCTCAGTGGGGACCCTGAAGCACTCTTTAGAAAAGGGCTCTGGGGTCCTCCTCCTCTTCCAGGAGGAGGAGTCACGGAGCTGCGGGGCCCTTGGAAGCTGAGTGAGCTTGCAGTCTTGGGGATGAAATCTGAGTTTTGGAACGGGGCGGTGTTTCCAGCACTGCCGCACCGCCAACAGCCTCGGGGGCCTCTGCCTCTGCATGGCTCTCTGCGTTTCCCAGCCTCAGCTGGCCCAGGCGCCAGGAGCAGAGGTAGGGTGAAGACAGACGCTGTGGCAGTGCTGGCTCCCTGCCGGTCCTGCCAGGCTGGGGAGGCGGCTCCTGCACAGGCATCAGCCTGGGCCCGTGGCACTCTAGCTGCTGAGCTGCCAGGGGCTCCTGCAGACTTAGGGCACCTCCTGCCTCCTGGCTTCTCTGAGCCCAGGCTGCTGCCACTGCTGCTGGCCACCCCTCATGCCTGGGTCACTTGACAATGGAATCTCAGCCTTGCTGCTGGCGGGCCACGTGAGCCATGCAGGACCACATCCCCATGGCAGGGGTGGGCAAGGGCAGGCAGTGGCAGGGAACTGACTGGAAGGTTTTTATTGGCTCTGGTGGGGCTGGCTCTGTCTGGGCTCTGGTTTCCAGTTTAGGTCATAATAGAGGACGTATTCACTGACGCGGCTCCACTTAGAAACACCCTGGGAAGAAAACAGAGGGGGACAGCAGAGGGCTCAGGTCACGTCAGCCAGGATGAAGGGGCCTGTGCCACAGAACTGGATATGGCAGTGGAGGATTTCCAGCTCCCAGCATGCAGGATCCCTTCCCCGCAGAGGCCCTTTCTGCCTTGTGTCCTCAGGGTTGGCACAGCTGTGAGGGGTGGAAACTCTCGGACCCACACAGCCAGAAGGACGTGAGCTCATCAGACCCCTGTCCTGGGTGCTAGACTGGGCTTCTTAAGGAAGGGCCATATCTTCATCCTGACATCTCCTGCAGGCCCTTATGCAGAGCCCGGCTCGTAGGAGAGTCCACAGCTGCTTGGTGAATCACCCTCTTCAAGCACATGCTGAGTTTTCCTGACCACATGCCAGGCTCTGTGTCCAGGGCTGGGCTGTGAGCCACGGCTCCTGCCGTCTTCCTGGGCTGCACAGTCTAGCAGGCCCACCCGACAGGTACTCAGTGTTTGCTTTCACTGTGCTGTGACTTCTCTTTCTATGCATCAGTGAAAGACTTACAACGTAGTAGCCTTAAGAGCTCAGCAACGAGGCTGGAGTCATGAGGGTGGGCTTCCGGAGGAACTGACCTTTCTCTGGGCTGTCAATGTGCCCGCTTACTCACACTGGGACACACCTATTTCTCATGCCCCACTTTCTTGGCTTTCTCTTCAATGTCACCTGATTCCAACGCTGTCCCCAAATGTCTGAGAAGTCATGAGGGTGGGATGGGGGTGAATACAGCAGTCAAAGACCACGTATGAGAAGGTACAGGAGGTCAGACTGGCCTCAGAGCAGGACAGGCAGTCCTGGACAACCTTGGCCCCTTCTCGAAGCTGGCCAGCCCCTCAGTCCCTAACCTGAGCGTGTGCAGGGAGAAATGAGTGTCCGCTGGGCTTGTCCAACCGTTGGGCTGTCACTGTGGGTGAGCCTCAGGTGGGGAGCCTCTCACAGACTGACTTCTTCTGTCTTCTCTCCAACCCCAGGTGCCCCTGGCCCTCCAGGACCAAGAGGACTCAAAGGAGACATGGGCGTGAAAGGGCCTGTTGGTGGCAGAGGCCCGAAGGGAGACCCCGGTGGCTTGGGACCCCCAGGACCCCAGGGTCCTCAGGGGCAACCTGGAGAGACTGGACCTATGGGAGAAAGGGGCCCCATTGGCCCTCGAGGGTTCCCAGGCCTCAAAGGCTCAAAGGGTAGCTTTGGAACCGGAGGACCAAGAGGACAGCCAGGTCTGAAAGGGGACTTGGGGCCCCCAGGACCAGAAGGGCCCCCGGGGTCTCCAGGGCCCTCAGGGCCTCAGGGAAAACCGGGGATTGCAGGGAAGACAGGGTCACCAGGCCAGAGGGGAGCCATGGGGCCTAAGGGTGAACCAGGGATCCAGGGTCCCCCGGGCCTCCCTGGACCTCCAGGACCACCAGGAAGCCAGAGCTTCTACTGAGGAGGGCTCTGGAGCAGACACTGTCACAAAGAATGCTGGAGGGGCAGAGAGCAGATCCAGGCCGCAGAAAGCCTCACCTACAGATAGCTGTGGTCCTCTGATTCCAGTGAGGGGGTTCCCCAGGGCTGGCCCTGCAGCTTTGGCCTGCCCCATAGTGACTGTATCATAGGAAAGCAGTCCCTACTCACACACACATGCACATATGCACATACTTGTGCACACACATGCACACATACACGTGCAGGCACACAGGTGCACACATGCAGGTACACTCATGCGCACATGTAGACACATGAAGGCACACACACACATATTCACACATGCACATGCACACATACATACACATGCGGGCACACATACATGCACACGCATACATGCAAGCACACACGCACACCTACACACACATGCACACATGCATACATACATGCAAGCACACACAGGCACACATACACATGCAGGCACACATGCATACATACATGCAGGCACACACAAGCACACATACAGGCACACGTACATGCACACATACATGCAAGCACACACATGCTCACAGACACATGCAGGCACACACATGCACATACACACATGTGCACATACACGCACAGGCACACATATATGCATACAAATATATAGAGACATGCGCACACACAGATTTTTCTGCTGGCCGGGGGGCCAACTGGGTTTCCCTGGCTGGGCAGGAGGAGAGGGAAGAGGAAGAGCCCCCTCTCCTGTGACTGAGCCTGCCAGGGAGGCGGCTACCTCGGGAGGAAGGTCTCACATCTGTCTCTGGGTACCCATGCTGGCCAGCAATTTCCCAGGGCTCCCTGTGGCTGAGAAGCCCCGAGGAAACCTTTGTGGGTAGGGCATGACAGCCAGAACTCCAGAGGCAAAGCGGATCTGGCAACCACAAGACCCTCCCTATCATCAGGGGAACAGGATATCTGGGAGCTGTCCCAGCCTGTCACAGCACAGTGGAGCCATGAGAGCCACATTCTCTGGCCTTGCACACAGCGGCCCCGGAGAAGTTCAACAGCCATTTCTTCACATGTCCAGAAAACTCCTCGCTTCATCCTTGCCTCTGCCCCTCAGGAGCAGCGCGGAAGGAATCCAGGCAGGAGTTTCATCTGCACGGGGGCACTCTGTAGGCCCTGGAGCACTGGGCCTGAGTGGAGATGGGAGACAGGCAGGCCAGGAGGTTCTCTCTGCACAGCTGCCTCCCTTGCTCTCCCTGAGGCTGGCCTGTCCCATTTCCCATTCCCTCTGGCTGCAGGAGGGCCGACCCCTTGTAACTGGGCAGCTCTTGCCTCCTGCACCAGGCTGTCCTGATCACAGCTGCTTGACCTGGTCCCACCAGAACCCACCATGGCCCGACCCCTCTCTGCATGGGCAGCCAGCTGGACTAGAAGCGGGAAGGGCCTGGGCACGGACAGAGGCCCCTCTGTCATCACTCTTTGGCCCCCACCAACTTTCTGTACACACTGGCAGAGAGGGGCACTGGGAAGCGCAGGGTGGTGGTCTCCTATTGGCTACACTCGCTCTCAAGCTGCTTTGCCTTTATATTCAAACAGATTCAGACCCCCCAGATTGAGGGCACAGAGACCAGACCCTCCCCCACAAAGCCTTTCCGCACCTTCCCGAGTGTCCCGGATGTGCAACTGGTTTGCACCGCATACCCCACGGCCATGTAACGCTCCTGTGCATGTATGATAATACCATGCTGCCTAGTATTACTGAATCAGTAAAGAGCTGTTTCCAGGAGTGAGGTGGCTTTGAGTCCTTCCTGCCTGACTTGGGGGCACGACACCTTCAGGGCTGCACTCCAGGTCGGCCTCTGAAGGTGTCCTCGTCGGAACCAGTGACGAGGGTCCCCTAGAAATTCAGCGCCTAGTCCCATTTTAGAAACACTGAGCTCAGCCGGGAACCAAGACTGTCAGGGAATTTCTCGCAGAGAGCAGGAAATGGGAAGCCCAGTGCGTCTTGCAGCCTGGACCTGGAGCTCTTTGGCTAAAACAAGATTGGAAAACAGGGCAGGCCTGGACATGTGAGTGACACCTCCTGATTCTGGCTTTTGTCTCCAAGACAAGGAGATAGGACAGGAAAGGAGGTAAAGACCAGGCCAGACCTGCCCCGAGGGGCCTGGTCAGGTTACGGTGCAGATTACAGAGGGGCAGAGTCTGCAGGTTACGGAAGAGGACAGCAGGTCCCCTGTGAGTCGGCACAGCAACCTCGCTGGCTGACAAAATGTGACCTAGTGCAAGATTGGGGCCCTGTTTTTTGGTTTTTGGTTTTGAGACTGAGTTTCCCTCTTGGTGCCCAGGCTGAAGTGCAGTGGTGCGACCTTAGCTCACCGCCACCTCTGCCTCCCAGGTTCAAGCGATTCTCCTGCCTCAGCCTCCCGAGTAGCTGGGATTACAGGCACCTGCCACCACACCTGGCTAATTTTGTATTTTTAGTAGAGACAGGGTTTCTCCATGTTGGTCAGGCTGGTCTTGAACTCCCAACCTCAGGTGATCTGTCCATCTTGGCCTCTCAAAGTGCTGGGATTACAGGCATGAACCACCACGCCCAGCCATTTTTTGTTTTTGGGTGTTTATTAGTGGGTTGGTGCTCATTTGAAATGCGCAAAAGGGCAGGGGAGTGAGGATGGGGCCAAGCATGGCGGCCACACCTGGACCTCACCTCTTCCTCTGTGGTGTGTGGCATGAGGTCCCTCCTCCCCACTGACACCTGAGATGTCCACAGCACCTGAGAATGTTCGACACACCATAAACATCAGCCATTGTCACAGCGGTCCTCATGACATGGATGAAGAGCTTCCTGGGCCACAGCGGGTGTGCTCCATGCTCCTCTGCAGGTGAGTGGCCAGATCCCTGCATGTCTCATTTCACGCTCCCTGACCTGTGAGAGCTAGGAGGGACCTGGGGGATCTGAGGCTCAACTCCTTTATTTCCCAAGGAGCAAACCAAGGACTGAGAGCAGTTGAGGGGTTTGCTGCACATCTGGGACTGGGACTCCCGCCTGGTGTCTCTGGCTAGCGGGAGATCCAGTTCTCAGGCGACTTTTCCTATTGGTGAGAGTCCTCAGGAAGCTTCCTAACACATATTCCTTGGGAGGTGTTCCTGCCCCAATCCCATTCCCTGCCTACATCAAACTGCTCTTAGTACTCAATGTGGCCCTTCAGAGTATCTGGACAGCCCTAGGTACTGCTTAAGCCCCCGGGGTTTAAGGGGATAGACAGAACTGTAAAGCTTGAAGCAAATGCTGGGAATCGCTGTATTCATACATTTTGTGAATGGATGAAACCCGCCTCAGAGTGGGTGAGTGGGTGGGATCCACAAGGGAGGAACTTCGGTGGCCATGGGAACTGGGCAGCTTGTGCTTCTGCCCTGCTGGCCCTTCATCATTGTGGGACCTTAGGCCTAGCACGGGCCCTCTCTGACCTTCAGTTTCTTCATCAGAAAGCAGAGGGAGTGGACTGGCCTTGCCACCATTGAGCCTGTCATGTGTTCCTCTGTCCTGCCCTTCTAACCAAGTGCTCCTTCTCCTACCCTGCTTGATTGCTGTTCTGGAACGTGCCAGGGCCAAGGTGATGAAGTCTGAACCCACATTGAGTGGTAACAAAGAGCCAGTGGCATTTCAGCCCCAAGACTGGAAGCCCAGCCTTCAGCATGAGGGTGATTTTAATCCCTACCAGACTTGCAAAGCCCCGAAGTCACTCCTGGGCCTCCTTCTAAGGCGAGCAGGGCTTGCTGGAAGCCACAGATCTGGTCCATGTCCTTTGAGTGCTTCTAAAATCCCCAGGCTGGGCCACTCATTTTACCCCGGTGACCTCACGACCTCTCCAACTTGGGGCGGCACAGGGGGCTGGGCACGCCTCCTGCCCTCCCTCCAACTCGTCCCTAGCCAGGGCTGAGCTGGCAACTTCTGCTGCGCCAGCCCTGGATACACCTGTCAAAACAGAGCCACAGGAAAGGAGAGCAGGGAGCTGAAAAACATGGTCTGACCACAGCGAACTTTCCAGCAGGGCTGGGCTGGGCAGGGCTGGCAAGCCTTGACCCGTGGGTGGTGCGCTGAGCAGCCTGCCTGGGGATTGCTTGGCCCGCAGGAGCACAGGCCCTTTGCTTTGCTTGTCTTCTCCTGTCTAGCCCTTTTGTTTTCTTTTGAACACTTCCAAGGGCAAGACTCTGGTGTGGCAGGCAGTGTATACAGGCTGGTGCAGTGCAACCAGGCAGGAGTCCCTCACAATGCAGATTGTGGGGCTGGGTACCATGGCTCATGCCTGTAATCCTAGGACTTTGGAAGGCCAAGGTGGTGGATTACGATTACTTAAGGTGAGGAGTTCAAGACCAGCCTGGCCAACATGGTGAAACCCCGTCTCCACTAAAAATACAAGAATTAGCCAGGCGGGGTGATGTGCACCTGTAATCTCAGCTACTTGGGAGGCTGAGGCAGGAGAATAGCTTGAGCCTGGGAAGCAGAAATTGCAGTGAGCCGAGATGGTACCACACACTCCATCCTGGGCGACACAGTGAGACTCCATCACTAATAAATACATACATACATACATACATGCAGATTGCGGGCCTCTACCCCAGAAGCTCTGATTCTGAATCAGGGATGCGGTGGGATGGGAGGAATGGGGCAAGGCTGGGCGTGGTGGGGGGGTGGAGGCAGAACACGGACTTTTTCCAGTTTCCCAGGGATTCTGATGCCCCATATAAAACTTTAGAGCCACAGTGTAGGAGATAGGAGATAAACAAAAATATTGTTTTTTTATTTATGTACATAATCTCAAGTAATCTTCACAAGCAAAGTGTGTTTGCATTTTATAGGTCAGAAAACAAAGCTCAGAAAAGCTAATTCATTCACTCAAGGCCACGTAGATGTTAAGTGGTTTTGAACCCAGGATTTTTAGAAGCCACTACACTGAGCTACTTCTTACAGAAAGGTGGGATTGGAAATTAGATCAGACCTGTGTTTGCATCTGAGATAGCTGAGATCCACAGAATCAACTTGCTCAAGGTCCCAGAGCCAGCTAGTGACAAAGTTGGCAGCTTCTCAAGGAAGCCAGGTGCTGACCTCAGCCAGGCCCCCTGACTTCCCTTTTCCCTAAGCCCAAGATCTCCAACATAGGTGTCAAAACCAAATCTCCTGGCATGAGGAACAAACTGTTAAGTATTAGAACATCTCAATGTGTTTCGTCTATTCTAGGTCACACTTTGTTTTCACATAGTCGGATGTGCTATGAAGCCAGCCATAAAGTTCAGGATGACCAAGAATATAATTTGAAAATGAATTTGTTTACTGTCCTTAATGGTAAGTAAGCATCACTCTAAGTGCATATTATTCCTTGAGACACTAGCCAATTATGGTACATGAAAATAATTTATAAATAAATAAATTTACATATATTAGGAAGATGATTTAAATTTTTATTTTACTAATGGGAGATGTGATGGAAATATTTGGACCCCACTGCTCAAACCCAACTCTATTGCTTCCAACACTCTGCCTTCTGATAACACAGCTCCCCGTAGGGAAAGGGAGAAAGGGAATCTCCACATGATTTTACCCAGATTTGTGGTATGATGGTCCCTTCTCCTTCTGAGCTCCTAGACGAAACCGTTCCCCAGGTTTACAGCTTGGGACTTGCTTGTTCCTCATCATCCACCATTGTCATCATTTCAGCTCCATAGGCTTCCCTTTTTCCAGCTTTCACAGGTGTTAAAAGCAAGACCTAATGATACGTTATTTGAAAGAGAGCGTGTTTTAAATAAAAACAAAAATTAGGTAAATTTTTAAAAATAGAATCAATACACTATGTAAATGTTAATTATAAAAAAGCTGGAATGGGCATATAAATATAAGAAAAAGCAGACTCCAAGACAAGGAGGACTATCATGTTTAAAAGAGTCAATTTATTAAGGTGATATAAAAGTCTTAAATGTATAAATAGGTAAGAAAGTTTCAAAATACCTGAAGTAAGAACTGACAAAACTAAAGGGAGAAAGAGACAGATATTCAGCTGGAGATTTAATATTACTCTCTTGGCCAGATGCAGTGGCTCACACCTGTAATCCCATCACTCTGGGAGGCCTAGGCAGGAGGACCACTTGAGCCAAGGAGTTCAAGACCAACCTGGGCATCATGGCAAGACCTCATCGCTACAAAGAATTTTAAAATTAGCTGGGCAGGCTGGCATGCACCTGTAGTCCCAACTACTCAGGTGGCTGAGGTGAGAGGATCACTTGAGCCCAAGTTCAAGGGTGAGGTGAGCCATGTTTGTACCACCATGCTCTAGCCTGAACAAGAGAGTGAGACCCTGTCTGAACAACAACAACAATAAAAACTTACTCCCTCAGGAAGTGACAGGTCAAGTAAACCAAAAAAAATCTATTAGATTTGCAAAGATATGAATTAGGTCAACTAACTTAACTTTATTGATGTTTGCAGAACACAATAACCAACAACTCCAGAACGTACGTTATTTTCAAGGGCATGTCAGATATTAACCGAAATAGATCATATGCTGAGCCATAAGGTAAGTCTCAATACATTTCAAAAAGACTTAAATTTCACAGACAGTATTCTCTCTACATGGAAGTAAATTAGAAATCAGTAAATGAGAGATACATGTAAAATCCACAAGTACTTTCTACAGCAGCACATAGACTAATATTGAAATAATGCAGAGATTAGCCTGACCCTTGTACAAGGATGACATGCAAATTTGTGAAATCTTCCATTTTCTTAATCCACAGTTCTTAGAAATTAAAAATAAAAACGTCTAAATAACCATAGATCAGAAAGAAAAAAAAATCACAGAGAAAATTAAAAAATATTTTGAACTGAGTAGTATTGCAAACATAACATACCAAAACATGTTGGATGCAGATAAAGAAATGCTTAGGAAATTTAGAGCTTTAAATGAATATATAAGAAAAGAAAGATTTAAAAATTAACTGATATATATTCCCACTTTAATGAGCTAGAAAAAGAAAAGAAATTTAAACTTCAAATAAATTGAAGATAGAAAACAAGACTAAAGCCAGAGTCAATAAAATAGAAAAAAGAAAATAAGGAAAACCAACATTACGAAAAGTCAGTTCTTCAAAAAGATAAATAAAATTAAGAAGGCCCTAGATAAACTGATCAATACAAAAAAGGTAAGAAATAACAGTAATGAAAAAAGGAACATTACTATAGATTCAACAGACAGTGGAGAATAAAAAAGAAACATTTTGAACAAGGTTATACCACCAAACTCAATAACCTAGATGAGATGGACAAATTCTTTGAAAGATAAAAATTACAGAAACCAGTACAAAAAGAAAATCTTCATTAATGTTTTAAAAATTGAATCCATAGTTTAAAACTTTTTCCTAAGGAAAACTCGAAGTCCAGATGATTTTATTACTGATTTATTTCAAACATTTAAGAAATAACGCCAATATTAAACAAACTCTTTCAAAAGAGTAGGGAACCAGTAAGCTACAAGAAAATAAGATCATAGACAAATAATTCTCGTGAATATAAATGCAAAAATTCTTAACAAATTTAATTAGCAGCCAGCAAATCAAATCTAGCCAGCATAAAGAAGATAATGTATCATTGCTAAGTGGGACGTACCACAAGAATGCTAGGTTAGTTTCACATTTTGAAAGTCAATCAATATAGTTTATCATATATACAGAGTTAAGGAGAAAAATAATTTGATCATCTCAATAACTGCAGAAAAAAAAATTGTTAAAATTTAGCATTTTATAATTAAAACTCTCAGCAGACTAGGAATGAAAGGAAACTTTAAACTTTGGCAAAACCGTCTTAAGAAAAACCTTTAATTAACATCACACTTAAAGGTGAAAGACCAAATGCTTCCCTCCAACATCAAGGCAAGAGTATGGACCCTCACCACTTGCAGCCAACATTGTATTGGAAGTCCGATCCTGTGAAATACGGCAAGTAAAGATAATTTATAAAAACTGGAAAAGAAGAAGTAAAATTGTCTCTTCTTACAAATAAAGCTATTCCTAAGGAACTTACAAAAAACTCACTTTTAATAAAATACAAACTTTGATCAAAGTCTACAAGGTCAATATATAAAAGTAAATTGTATCTCTATATACTAGCTATAAAAAACTTAAAAATGAAATTCAAGAACTCTCACACAATCAGCAAATAACATAAAATACTTGGTAAGACATTTGACAAAATTTGTTTAAAATCTCTACATATAGGCTGGGTACAGTGGCTCACTCCCATAATCCCAACATTTTGGAAAGCTGAGGCAGGAGGATCACTTGAGGCCCAGAGTTTAAGACCTGCCAGGGCAACATAGTAAGACTTCATCTCTTAAAAAAAAAAAAAAGTAGCCAGGTGTGGTGGCATGCACCTGTAGCCCCAGCTACTCTGGAGGTTGAGACAAGAGGATTGCTTGAGCTCAGGAGGTCAAGGCTTCAGTAAGCCAAGATCATGCCACTTCACTCCAGCCTGGGCAATAGGCTGAGATCCTGTCTCAGAAGATAAAATGAACAAATCTCTACATATAAAGTTTGAAAGCATTGCTGAAAGAACTTTTTGAAAGCCAGACTAAATGGAGCAATACACCGTGGTCATGGATGATCTATCACTATACCCAAATTGCTCTATAGTCAATGTAATCTCAAACCACATTCCAGCATGTGTTGTTTTGATTTTTGTTTTTCTGGTAGAAATTGAGAAGCTGATGATAAAATGTACATGAAAATGCAAAGGACATAAAAGAATAGTAGAAAAATAAATCAAAAATATCTTGAAAAAAAGAACCAATTTGGAGGACTTACATTGCTGGTTACTATAAAGATATTATAATCAAGACAATGTGCTATTAATGTAAAGATAGCCAGAGAGTCAAATAAAACAGTACGGAGTCAGAAATGAATTTAATAATAAATAGTCAACTGCATTTTTACAAAGGCACTAGAAGAAATGAATGGGAAAAAATTCTAAAAAAAAAAAAAAGGTGCTGGAACAATTGGATACCTGTATGGGAAAAAATGTATCTTGATGCTCACCTCATAATGTACACAAAAATTAATTTGAGATGGATCAAGAAAAGTTAAAACTACAGAGCCTCTAGATAAAGGAAAATACAATTATGAACTTGGAATGGCAAAGATTTCTTAGCTAAAACAAGGAAAACATTAACCATAAAAAATTGATAAGCCGGATTTTATTAGAAATAAAATCTGTTTATTAATAATAGGTCTATTTAAGTAAATAATATGGTATGTTATGCATTAGGAGAAAATATTTGACAATTTATGAAAAGAATATGTAAATATCTCTTACATCTCAGTGATAAGAAGATAGTCCACAAAAACTGGTGAAATGTTTAAACAGATACTTCATAGAAGAATATGTAACATGTGAAAAGATGGTCAACATTAACAACTGTCAAGTGATCAAGGAAACACAAATTAAACCGTTACACTCAGAACGGAATAGTTACAATTAAGAAAACCATACCAAGTGTTGGCAAGGTTGTAAAGCAACTGAAACTCTCATATGCTTTTGTTAGGAATATAAAATTATGTAACCATTTTCTTTTATTTATTTTCTTTGGTTTTCCTCTTCCCTTCTTTTCACAGGTATTGATAGATAACTACTTTGAAAAACAAGTTTCTTAAAAAGTTAAACAAACACCTCTCATATAGTCTAGCTGTTCTACTTCTAGAAGTTTACCCAAGAGAAATAGAAACATAGATCCAAGAAATTATTGTACAAGAATATTCATAGATTTGCTTATAATTAGCCAGAAACTAAAAAAAAAGTCAATCATCAGGAGAATGAATAAACAAGTTGTGGCATACCCACAGTCAAAAAGAATAAATTACCTTAGACACAAAAATATGGATGAATCTCCGAAAAATTGTGCTGAGAGAAGCCATACAAAAAAAGGGTACATCATCTGTAATTCCATTTATGGAAAATTCTGGAACAGGCAAAGCCAATCTAGAGTGGTAGAAATGAGATTGTTACCTAAGGCAGAAGTGGGTGTAATTGACTGTAAAGATGCGTAAGGAAATCTTCTGAGGCGAGAGAAATGTTCTGTATCTTGATTGGGGTGGTAGTTATACACACAGGTGTGTGCATTTGTCAAGACTTGCCAAATTTTGTGCAATAATATGTGTGCCTTATTTCTATGTAAATTTTACATTGTAAAATCATAAAACTGATTTTAAAACAACTTCAATATTTTACTCACTAGAATAATTAAAATTAAAAAGGCATAAAATGTCAAATATTAGGATTTTCCTGCTAGGAGTATAAAATGGTAGAACCTCTTTGGAAAACTGTTTGGCTTCTTATGAAGGCAAATACCCATTTACCAGATGACTCAGCATTTCCACTCCCAGGTATTTGCCCAAGAGAAAGAAAAACAGTCTACAGAAACACTCGTACAAAAACGCTCATACCAACTTTACTCATATTTGCCCCAAACTGGAAACAGCCCATATATCCATCAACAGGAGAATGGGTAAGTAAATTGTGGTATTTTCATGAAATGTGACACTATAAAGAAAGAGGAGGAGGAGAACAAGGAAGAAGAAGAAGAAACAGAGGAAGGAAGAGAACAGCAATAAAATATAAGCAATGACATGAAAAAAACTCAAAAACAATGTAATGAAGAAAAGAAGCTACACACAAAGAGAATCATATAGTATGATTCCATTTATATTAAATTTTATAAAAGACAAAGCTACTCTGTGATGCTAAAAATCAAGAGTCCTTGCCTCAGGTCATGCAGGGAAGGGCAAGAACTGATAGAAAAAAATGTTTTTGCTGTCATGAAAATGGTCTCTATATTAACAGATGTGTGATTTGAACAGGTATCTGCATTTGGCAAAACGTATCAAACAATACATATGATATGTGCATTTCACTGAATATAAAGTAAAATTCAATTTTTTAAAAGTCATAAAAAATAGAAATTCAGTTTCAAATGCTTGTGAGCCAAAAAAGAAGCAATAAAAATGAGTTTAAATAAATATAGAAAACATTTTCAAACTTTTTATAATGAAAATAAGTTGAGGAATGTAGCTGAGGCAGCAATTGGAGAGAAAATTAATAGCCTTGAACATCTATATTACAAAAAGAAGTCTAGGCGCTGTGGCCCATGCCTGTAATCCCAGCAGTCTAGAAGGCTCAGGCAAGAGGATCACTTGAGACCAGAGTTCTAGACCAGCCTGGGTAACATAGGGAGATCCTGTCTCTACAAAAAAAAAAATTAATAATAATTAGCTAGGCATGGCAGTACATACCTGTAGTCCCAGCTACTTGGGAGGCTGAGAGAGGAGGATCTCTTGAGCTCAGGAGTTCAAGGTTACAGTGAACTATGATTGTGCCACTGCACTCCAGCCTGGGCAACAAAGCAATGCTGTGTCTCAAAAAAAAAAAAAAGGAAAAGAAAAAGAAGAAAAGCTAAAATAAATGAACTAAGTGTTCAACTTAAGAAGTTTGGCCAGATGCAATGTCACCTATAGCCCCAGCTACTCAAGAAGCTGAAGCAGGAGTATCTGCTTGAGCCCAGGAATTTGAGGCTGCAGTCAGCTCCGATGGTGCCTGTGAATAGTCAGGAATTTGAGGCTGCAGTCAGCTCCGATGGTGCCTGTGAATAGTCAGGAATTTGAGGCTGCAGTCAGCTCCGATGGTGTCTGTGAATAGTCTCTATACTCCAGCCTGGGCAACATAGTGAGATCCTTTACCTTAAAAAATTTTTCGATTAATGTTTAAAAAAAAGTGTAAAGAAATGTACCTGAACACACACAAAGAAAGTAGAAAGGAAATAATAAAGGGTAGAAATTGTTGAAATGGAAAAAGGGAAGTTTAGAATGGGGAGGGCCATTAAAGCCGAAAGTTTCTCACCCTCTTCTTCAGGCAACAGCAACAAACACTAAGAAATATCGATCAAGAAAATGATAAAAGGCATAAATATAGAATATTAGCAAGGACAGTAAAAGGAAATATTTTGAAAATTTGATCCCAATAATTTTGAAAACTTAGATGGAACAAACAAATTCATAGGAAAACATAAGTCACCAAAACTGACTTAAGAAGTAGAAAACCTGAATAGTCTGAAACCATTAAAGAAACTGAATCAGTGGTTTTAAATATTCCCACAAGGAAAACACAAGGCCCACATAGAAAGACCTACCAAAACACTCAAAGAAGTCAAAATTTCAATCCAACACACACTCTTCCTCAGAACTGAAAAAACAGGGCTCATCCCCTAACTTAATTTCTGAGGACAGAAAGTCCTGTTATCCAAAGCAGAAAAGAAAATACAGAAAATACCTAAATGGAAGCAGAAAGGGCATTTAGTATATTAAGCATCCATTTACAATTTGTGAAAAGTCTTATGAAACTGGGAACTTTTAGATCTAATAAACAGTATGTACCCAAACTGCCCACATCTTTCAGAAACCTGAAGACGTGAAAGTATTCCATTTAAGAGAACCAGACACAGCGTTATTCCATTTAAGAGAACCAGACACGGCGTGTCCCCTCTTATGATGCAATGGAAAGGATACAACACCACCTATGAAGTTGACTTGCCAAAAAAAGAAAGAAAACAAAAGAAAATTGACCCTGAGTGTAACCAAGCCACTAGACCTACCTTCAGTTCACAGGCAAGAGCTCTAAAGAAAGAAACATGTTAAATAGCACAATTTTTATGACTGGGGGAGGTGATGGCCAGTCAAACCCAGTTTCTCCAACAAATAAACACATGGAGTGAGGGGAAAACAAGTGCAGAGAATAATAAAGATTAAAAGAGACTTAAAATTAATCTTGAAATAAAAGTTTATTGCCAAAAGAGGACTTAAGAGATACATCAACCAAAGGCAATGTGAGGACAGTGTTTGAATCTTAAACCAACTTATAAATAAAAGCTTTTTTTGAGAAAATGCTAGAATGTGAATGTAGATTTTTATTATTAGATCTTGTTAAGAAATTATTGTTTCAGCATGAGGAATACGAGCGTCATGAAGAAAGGGGGCATATTCTCCGCAGAATTTCTGAAGGTTTTTCTTCCGTCTCTGCTGCTCTCTCATTTGCCGGCCATCGGATTGGGGATCTATAATGGAAGGCATCTGACAACCTCCACCAGCACCTTTTGATGAAGAACAGGAGTCTGGCTTTGCTCGTTAGTGGGATTACTTCTGAGCTTGCAGCGTAGCTCATTGAAGAACTGTTAAATCCCTGGGCAGCCGCGGCACTTGTGTTTATTTGTTCTGTAAATGCAAAAAAAAAAGTAAAATATTTTTAAAATTAAAAAAAAAAAAGAAATTATTATTGCTGGGTGCATTGGCTCATGCCTGTAATTCCAGCACTTTGAGAGGCTGAAGTGGGAGGATTCCTTGACCCCAGGAGTTTGAGACTAGCCTGGGCAACATAGGGAGACCCCCTTCTCAACAAAAAAGGAAAAAAATTAGCCAGGTGTAGTGGCGCACACCTGTAGTAGTCCTAGCTACTTAGGAAACCGAGGTGGGAGGACTGCTGGAGCCTGGGAGGTTGAGGCTGCAGTGAGCTATGATTGTGCCACTGTACTCCAGCCTGGGCGACAGAGTGAGACTCTTAAAAAATACATACACACATATATGTGTGTATGTATGTAAACTTTAAAGACAAAAATTATAATACTACAAACAAATGTTTTAGTAAGAAACAAGGAGGACACAGGCTTCTCTGTTCACCATCATGGGGCCTCCTGGGGGTCCAGGCTGCTGGTTCAACCGTCTACACCACACCTCCCCGGCTTCTGCAGGTACCATTTATTTCTTCCTTGTTCTTTAGTGCTCCAGGCTTAAATCCTGTCTATCCTGCAAACCCAGCGCAGATGCTGCCTATAACCAGTTGCTGTTGTGTTAGTTTGCGAGTATCCATACCCTCTTCTTCAGGTAACAACATCCCTATTTTCTGTTTTTCTTCAACTTTTAAGTTCGGGGTACACGTGCAGGATGTGCAGGTTTGATACATAGGTCAACATGTGCCATGGTGTTTTGGTGCACAGATCAACCCATCACTAGGGATTAAGCCCAGTATCCATTAACTGTTCTTCCTGAGGCTCTCCCTCTCCTTGCCCATCTCTCGACCTGTGTGAACAACAACCCTATTTTCTTTGGAATAAATACCTTTAATAACTTCATATGGTTCAAATGAGGCTGACCTCACCAACCACTTTCCCCCGGGGATAGGCAGGTGACTCAGGTCTGACCAACGATAATACCACCTTGATTGCCAGGAACAGCCTCTTTGCCCAGGCTGAATTAATTAGCCAAAGAGTGTCTACTCCCAGACTTTTGCTGGCAGTATTAGAAAAGAGGCACTTTCTCTTCTCTGGGTTGCTAATTTAGAAGAATGAAAGCCTGGAGCTGTTGTGGCCATTTGTCTGCATAGGAGAGAAGGCCCTGCCTCAGAAAGGGGCACCATAAGAAAGTAGAGACACAGCGCCCGATGCCAACATTAGGGTCCCTGAATACGGCCATACTTCCCCGCCTCTAACCAAACTCCTTCCTCAATCCTGCAGGATATTAATTAATAAAAGACCCTGGGTGGAGGGAGAGTTGAAAAGAGAGAATAAGAAAGAGAGGGAGGAGAGAGAGAGAAAATGAAAATGGGAAAGGCAGAGAGAAAGAGGGAGGAAGGCAGGCAGGGAGAGAATGCATTGTCTTTAGAATCAAGAACAAGACAGAAGTCTGCCTGCTTTCACCACTTATTCAACATTGAAGTGGAGGTCTTATAAATTTCAGTAAAGAAAAATAAATGGTA